CAAAGAACCGATTTAATAAGGGCAGCACAGCCAGAATCTGAGATGTTCATATTGTCATATTGCTGCTGCAAACGCAACTCTTGGGTGGAGTTGCAGCAGACAGTTCCACTGTAAGGACAGAATACCGGAGGGGTCTTTGGGATAAAGGGTGCCCCTACACCAGATAAATAGGAACAAGAAAAAGTTCAGAATGTAAATTGATAGCTGCAAATGGAGCACTAAAACAATCAATAGTATATTAGCAGAATTGAAATGGAAGAAAAAGTGAAGTAGTGAAACATACTTGAATCGGTACATAACGGATACGAAAAAGAAGGATTAACAAGCAGCAGCAAATTGCAAAACAGTGAGACAATGAAAAGAACAGCACCCATTACACCAAACTAACAGAAAAAACTGAAAACTTCTAAACACAACCCCTCTTTTATAGGGACCAGAGGTAGCCCACTTCTCAATAATATTGGCTTCACTAGAGAAATCAAAATAAGATCAATTTCAGACTAAAAGCTTTCTGAGTCTGAAACATATTCCACTCATCACCAACTCTTCTATATCTCTTTCCCTCTATTATTGACCAGTCCAAAAGTCAATCTCTTTGTAACTATGCTTCAAGAAGGATAGACCTCCCTCTCTGCCTCTCTCTCTCTTTCTCAATATATATATATTGTGTGTTTGTGACAAAAGCATTTGACAATTTTTTTACAGTTGAGATTTGAGGCATCAAGTGGACAGTCTACATAGTTGACTTTATTTAGTAATAAATCAATTGGGTAGTTGAGGATTAAAAATAAAAAGAATAAAAAAATTGTGCAGAAAATCCTGGCTGTATGGATCTTGGTTGGTTCAATGTGTCTTGTGCACGTTGAATGCCTCTCCATGGTCAAGTGCATTCAAACCTTACTTATATATATATGTGTGTGTGTGTGTGAAAAATAATAAATAAATAAATATCCAGAAAACAGATTTCAAATTTGAGTGGAACCCCCTGGGATTTAGAATCAGACAAGTAGAAACACCGGCAATTCAACGTCATTGATGACATCAATTCAGAATTAAAAAAAGGTATATAATGGGAAATCCAAGTGGTTCATTATGTGATGGAGAGAATAGCCATCTACAATGGGGCATCTAACAGCTTTAAACTTAATATGGAGTCGTTGTAAACAAAGGCAGGCCATCACATGCTAATCAATACAAGGTAAGGCAATATTTTCTGCCATAAAGCAATTACACTGCAAACACACACACACACACATATATATATATTATAACATTCTTTAAATAGAAAGAAGCAGACTTTGTTGAAATTGGTAAGGAACAATAGAGACAGGGAGGAAGCTTCCAGGTTAATTAATAATTATCCTGCTGGGATAGTTTATTATAGTTGAAAATAGAGGAAAGTGAAGCAAATAGACATTCTTTTATGTATGGTGTACACAATCTACAGAGTAAAACAATCAAGATTTTCCATAGGTGGAGTTTCAGAAACCAAACAAATTAATGTACAAAAAAAAAATATTAAAGAAATTGATAACCTGGTTTACTGAATCAGATTGCAAAAAAAAAGGTATTGACAGAGAGATGTTTGTGAACTGACCGCATTAATATTGAATTGCTCGGGAGAAAAACAAAAAGGTTCCGCGACGATGATCAGGCACTCCATTTGTGTTTCAAATGGTGGGGCATTTTAGTAATTTACCAGTTTTTTCCAACTCATTTAAATAAAAAAATAAAAAAAAGGCAAAAGTGCCAAAAACAAGAAAAAACTCTCAACCATCAAGACTTAGCATTTTACTCCCTTAAACTATAAAAATAAACATATCAATACAACAATTATCTAAATAGTTCAAATTAACTCCTAAAAGTCAATTCCGGCAACTTTACATCCATCTTCACTGTAAATTTATAAAACTATCCATTATAATTAAGAAAAAAAAAATACCAAAATAAATAATCAACGTGAAATACCCTAAATGTAACAACTCGAAAAGATGCCAAAATAATAATAAAAATCTATAAAAATTTTGGCATGACCTCCGTAGAAAATGTCCCTCAACAATCTATAGAAAGACAAAAAAATAAATGCAATGGCCTCACTGGGCCTTAAATCCAATTTAGCATGTCCCAACGCACAATTCAGATATTATATTACATTCCCGAAATGGTTACATACATACAAAAGTCACGTTCCTCCATCTCATCCAAACAAGGGACTCATCCGTTACTTCAAGTTACAGTCCATAATTGTAGCTAAAATTTTAAAGTTTATAGCTTACAACGTTATATCAACTAAACTAAAGTTTCTCAAAATATTTAAGATTACATTTACAAAATATATATCAAAGTTCTAATACAAAAGATAGCAAAAATGAAATAGATCCCCAAGCTCGTCTAAACTTGTGGTGGATCATCGTTCGCCACCTCTTTTCCATATCCTAAAAAATGTTAAAAATAATGGGGTGAGCATAAGCTCAGTAGTTCTTATGTTCCCGTGAGTCCATACAATGAATAGATAAAAAGTGAACGGGATCATGCCATCAGGAAATGCATATTCTCAATCACAATAACAAGTATGTAACAAATATCAACCAATCATCAATTCACCACAATGTCATGAAGTGCAATGTTATGCAAATGTCACTCCCCATTTCCGAAACAATTCCGTTTCAACAACCAAATCGTTAGTGCAGTCCGACCCAAGGCACCTCTATGGCGTCACGAAAGGAAGGTTGGTTAACTATCCATGACCACAAGGCACTTCTAAGACGTCGCATCCGGCCTAGTTAACTCAACTACATTCCCTTCTAGACTACACCAACATCACGGACCACTAGGCGCCTCCTAGGCGTCCGGTTTTCGCAACACTTTTAGAAATTATTTTCTCCAAAACAGTTTTATTTGTTCTAACAAATATTTTTCCCCCTTTCTCTTTCCCAATAGATGCATGAATGTTTCATACTTCAAATCATTAATTTAACTATATGTTTTTACACATTTTCATTTACGTCATCATCACAATTTAATGAAAATTTCTAAACATTCATTTCCTTTATTTATTTATTTATTTAGAACCATAGCACCAATTTTTCTTCAAGACAATAAATAAATAAATAAATAATCATGGAACATACAACACATCAAACGCTAAGCATGCTCATTTACCATAATGAAAATAGACATGTATATAAACTCAAATAACATATGGAACACAATTATCATTGTAATTACACAGAACTATAACAACAACAAGCTAAGTAATTAAAATTTAGCATGCTTAGGATCAAATTTAAGGGGAAAAATTCACCAAAAGCCAAGAAATTGTAAATTAGAACACCAATACCTCAAATTGATGAAAACCCCCAATTTGAGGCCAAGAACCCTAGAATTTTGAACTCCCTAAAGTGCACCAAATGATAATTGGCTCCTATCAAATTAACGGCCTTGAAGAGCTCAACAACTTTGCTTCACAATGTTCTACCAAATTCCCAAAAGAAAAAGCAAGATCAAGATTTGAAGTTGCAATAAGAAAAAAAAAAAAAAATAGAAACTGCATAGAGCATTTTGGTTGCAGCAAGAGGGAGAGAAAAACATGGACTCGTGTAATGGCCTTATGGCCTTATGTGTGTTTATAACATAGGTGTGGGCCACTTACTTTATTTCTTTTAACATTAATTATATATATATATATATATATATCACAACATTACACTAAATGCCCCTCAACAAATTTTTATTATTTTACCGAAGTATATCTCATCCTCTCTCTCCACCCACCTCACCCCCTCTCTCTCTCCACTTACTTTCTCTCTCTATATACGACCGCCACCACCATCAGCAACTCATCTTCTCTTTCTAAAATGCCGATTTGTAACTGTCGCCGTCGACCTCCACCTGCAACTCATCTTCTCCAGCGACCGCATGTATATATATACATATATACATGTATATATACACATCATCATCATGCCTCCATTCCCACTTTTTCTCTCTATTCACTCTCTCTCTATATATCACCACCACCTCTTCTTCACAACTCTGCCACTCCAACCACCCACCACCATCACTGCCACCCACCACCCGCCATTGAAGACCCTTCATCTCATGAGCCTATCTCTACAATGCTTGTAGAAAGAGAACCCAAATGAATCTCATCCTCTCTCCATCCACCTCACCCCCTCTCTCTCTCCACTCACTTTCTCTCTCTGCATCGCATTCTATCTTACTATTTCTAACAGCACTTTCTCCCTTCAAACCAATAAAGAAATTATACAGATTTTAGTATGAAGAGCTAGTAGCATCATATAGAAAATTTTGTCAGATCCAGAGCGCACTATCATTTCTTTGTTACTGGGTTTACAGATACTTAGAAGAGCCATTTTGTTCAGCCTTTAATTATAAAGGACAAACTATTTAACCGAAGGGTATCATACTAGAAATTTCCCACCTGAAACACATTTTTTTTTAACCCCAGCTGAAACTGAAGTCACTGAGTTTTCTAATATTCAGTTATTGACAATGAATTTATGGAATTATCAACTTTGTACGCGTTCATACTTCGTAATTCAATGGAAAGAGATGTTTACTAGAGATAAAATATAAGATAGTATTTTCAAATGCAGAATTCTATTAGGAAGCAATAAGAAACATATTGGAATATATAGAAGTTAGTTCCTAACCAAAGAAAGCTGATCGTGCCTTCTATTTGAGATAATGTACCAAAAGCTACCAGTTTTATGATTTTCTCAGTACCATTATCCAACCCAAGTACCATTATCCAACCCAATAAACCAGAACAATACAACTTTTAAACATCCAAGCCACTTTCTAAATACAATACACTCATGATATATAACAAATGCATATATCTTAACATTTAGGTCAAACCATCTTAGTTAAAAAAGTCGAGCATAAAAGCTTAAGTGCTGATGACAATATGACCAAGCTAATCATGTCACAGTTCTCTCTCTGTTCTAACTCTCACGTCCAAACTCCAAGCTTCAATGGAGGTTTTCAATCACAAACATGCTTTCTCACTCATATTCCTCTTCTTCTCACCTTTCCTTTCACCATTTCCATCCCAAGCATGCCATACAGTAGACCAAGAAGCATTACTCCAATTCAAACACCAAATCACCGACGACTATTTTAGAATGCTGAATTCATGGACACCTTCTTCTGATTGCTGCACAGCCTGGGAAGGCATTGCCTGTGACACCTCCGGCAGGGTCATCAACATCTCTCTTCCCGGCCTCATGGCCGGCGACGACTACCCCATCGACACCTCCATGATCGGCACACTGTCCCCTTATCTTGGCAACATCAAATTCCTTCACTCCTTGACCTTAGCGAACTCGAATACTTGCAGGGTCCCATCCCACATAAACTTGGCAAGCTTTCACACCTCACCGACCTCATACTTCACAACAACAATCTCACAGGCTCAATACCCATTTCATTTCAAAACCTCTTTAGGCTAAAGAAGCTTCAACTGAGTCGCAATCGCTTATCTGGTTCTCTCCCTAACCCTGTTTTTGAGTCTTTAGCTTCACTTTCTTTTCTTGACCTTTCAGAAAATCAACTATCTGGTTCAATCCCATCTTCAATTGGCAATTTGGTTTCGTTAACTATGCTTGATCTTCGTCAAAACAGCTTCTCTGGTGCTATTCCAAACACCATTGGCAAGCTCAAGAAGCTCAAAACTATCCATTTGTCAGGAAATCGATTAAATAGTAGTTTACCAAAGTCTATAGGCGGACTATCTGAATAGTAAATTTATATCTAGACAACAACCAAAATAATAAATTAAAAAGAGTAAACAAACACACACATATATATATACATGTTCCAGTAAATATAACATTAGATTTGATAATTTGAAAAAATTTAAAAAAATAATAATTAATAGTAAGCATATATATAGAGATGTGTATTGTCCAGTAAAATATATTACATTATATATGATAATATATATATATATATATATATATATATATATATATATACATATATCAGTAAAGGGCTACAACTGTAATATTCAAGGATAATAGCGGAATTAAAAGAACAGGACAGTCACGTGCTGACCTTGTCGGTCGGAAAGTGGCCGGAATTGAGTGTCAGGGGTTAATTTACACAATTCTTTATAGTTATGGTACTGACTTGTTCATTTTTGTAGTTTAGGGGGTAAAATGTCAATTTGTTATTGCCCAGGAGATTTTTTGCACTTTTGTCAAAAAAAAAAAAAAAAAAAAAAAAAATTTAAAGTTCATTTAAGTGAAAATAATAATAATAGTAATAAATACCACTCCATTTCTGATATATGTGCCCCAAAGTCCATGTCATTGTATTTTTAAACTAAAGAATTCTCAAATTTTTTATTTATCCGAATAGGTCCAAAACCAGTTCACTTCCGTGAATTAAGAATTCAGATGGCATGAATAGTTGAACAAATTGAATATAGTTTTGGCTTATCTTTGTAAATAAATACAGTTTGATAGATCAGTAATTAGAATCTTAGTCACATAAAGCAGGAGCAAGAGAGAATTAGAGAGCGAAAACGTGAGAAAGGCAGAATTAAGTCATAAATAGTAAGAATCGGAGCGTGAAAGCTATGAGCATGTTCAGAGCGTGAGAACAACACTTATTGAAAAGAATTATGTTACGTAGTTTAGATTTCCTTTGGAACACTCAGTTTTTTATAATTACTCGAGATATATGAAACAGTTGATATATTATACTGACACCACTTGAATACACTTTTCACGTTGGTAAAGTAGGACTTTCTTAAGTTAAGAAGTGCAACTTTCCTTTACTTTCGGTTGTGTTTTTTGGATTACCCACATTGCTTTTGCAAAGTCCAAGCTAGAAGCACAAACTTTGGATTAAATTCTACATTCTTTTTGTAGCTTAAAAAGGAAAAAGACAAACCAAAAAAAATTTGAGTAATACTCAAGAAAGATATGGCTTAATTTGGTAAATGTTAGTTGGCAATTTCTCGAACTGTAGCCTTTTAGAAACACTTTTCTACCTTTAGAATATCTTAATACTGTGAAAATAGATATATCTCATAAATACTCCTATATCACATGTGTGTCACAAGTTCGCAAAATGAACATGTTTGTGTGTGCGTGTGTGTGAGAGAGAGAGAGTGTGTGGCTCCAAGAAGAATGCCATCAGCATGCAAATCTTTTGAGCTATGGGTCCAGGAAAAGATATCAATTGATCTTAATATACCGAACCAGTTACTAGAATAATCCAACAAGCACAATTGAAAGCAAATATCATTATCATTGATATTAGAAAAGCCCCATTTGTTGTTGAACAATACAATTAGTAGTTTACAAGACAAAATCCAGTGGAACCAACAAGATAGACAAGAAAAAAATCAGTACCGGTGCACGGTTCCAGTGTTTTCCAGCCATGGGAGAAGACGAATGTGGTTCTTCAGTTTCAAAACTTTCCTTGGAACACTGTTAGTTACAGCGGCTGGGACATGCAACTCTATACACACCAGTGCTTGTCAAAATATGAATGTCTTTCTTGTTATCTTCTGCTAAAGAGACCACGTATCCCAAAGCAGGGCGACAACTCCCCTCCATTGTGCTACATTGGATCGGAGAATCATGAGCGCAGCTGAAAGATACCTTGCAAGAAGTGAAGTTTCCACTGTTCTCGGGGTGTTCAGTAGCTGCCCATATATCACTTCCGAACAAGTCCATGTACAGGTACCTGGGATTTCATTGACAAGTCTGATGTTTAAATTATTTGAGTTTACCATTTGGAATTGGAGAATGAAGTTAAGGATCATTTGATAAAACTATACATGTTGATTGTTAAATTGGAAAGAAGCAGCATACTAACCTCCCATACATGCATGGATCAGTCCTGGACCGATACAAATAGCCACCGGTTACTGAGGCAGATCCAAGTTTGTTATCTACTTTCAGAGTGGTTGTAACCCATTCCAGGGTAGATAAGGTTTATTGAACTGGCAGAGGTATTTCCCCCGGGGGAATTTTCTGCATGGAAAATATAGGGTCCCCCATACATGTGCCATCCATAGTTTCCGCCCTTTGTGATAATGTCAATTTCTTCATAATGATTCTGAAAGATGCCAGGGGGTGGAGGCCCGAGGGGGAGAGGGAATTAAGCTTTTGTTAGGAGAGCGAATTTCGAGCTTCTATAAGGTGAAGCATTACAATTTGCAGGTCAACACGATCACAAAGCTGAGGATCCACAAGAGGCGAAACTAAGAACTTAGGGAAATCTGCTCTTTCAACCCAATAAAATTTTGGATGTTTGAAACTTAATAAAGAGCTTGTCATAAAATCAAGGGTAACAAAAAAAAATTGGCACATAGGAACTATTGACTGCAAATTTCAGCATAAGGATCATGGAAAAAGAAACTAACACATATTAAATTTTGTGACGTGAAAATATGTTTTGCAATGAATACATTTGAAACATGAAGATAATTAGAAGAAACAAAGTCCTAACCTTTCCACAATCTCCACACAGAAAGTAGGAAGGCCTTTTTGAATCAAAACTACAGCGTCAAGGATTACTTAAGCCTAATGTCACGCCCCGCAACCAAGAGGCTACGCCACGCAGGTGCCACGCAGATGCCCAGCAGACGATGACATGGAGCCTACATGGACCGGAGCTTTCTAGACTTCTCAACACAAATATGGAACTTTCCGGAATTCTCTAGATTAGTGTGGAGTTGTTTAGCCTTTTTTAGACTTGTCTAGAGTTGTATAGAATTCTCTAGAATTCTCTAGACTTGTCTTGTACATAGTTCTAGAATTGTGTAGATATTTCTTTGGATGATTCTAGATACTAAATCTAGGCCACACATTTGTACACATCTAGAATATTCTTGTAAGGCCAAAGGCCTATAAATAAGAGGTGGGAGTTCATTTGCTCCTCACCAAGCAACCAAGTTGTAATCTCTCCTCTTAAGCAATACAAGTTCTATACATTCCCAAACTCTGTTGCTCACTTGCCTAACCTCTTCCTACACACCCAAGTAAGCAAAACACTTGTCTAGCCTTAGTCTTCACTAAGCTAGCACACTCGGATAGGCTGACTTAGCGCTTCAAGGGGGCTTGAAAGTGTCTAAGGCTGCACGGGAGCTTGGAAAGGTTCAAGTCTGTGACAGTTGGTATCAGAACTAAGGTCGTGAGGTGTCACACCTTGTGTGAAGGAAGCTATGGCAGAGCTATCAGACGTGACTGGCACCCAAGAGGAGGATCTACGTGGAAGGAAACAAATCTCCCTCCAGTCGAAGTAAGGACGAGGGCTAGGTCGAAGGACATCATGGCGGGCTTAGAGGCACGTGTGGCAAACATGGAAGGGTCCATAGCCAACGTGTTGGAGCAGCTTGAGGATGCTCACCAGCACATGGATGGGCTAGAGTCGGAGGACGCTGAGGTCCAGAATGCTGTCAAAGGGTCACTCAATGCCCTAAGTGGTGACTTTCGGCAGGAGCTCCAAGCACTTCGAGAACTTATGTTGGGGGAGTTTGCCACCCTACGTGGCTATGTTGAGTAGGAGCTTGGCACTTTCCACGAGCAAATGGAGGAAATGCGAGCGGACTGGACATTGTGCAAACGGGCGGTGGCATCCGGCATAGCTACTATGGGGGTAGTAGCACCCCGGGTTGATATTCCCAAGCCTAAGTGCTATAGTGGGAATCGGGTAGCGAGGGAGTTGGAGAACTTCCTATTCAGTATGGAGCAATACTTTGAGGCTACGGGCATGACGGATGAGACCATCAAGATACGCACGGTGACTCACTACCTCACAGACCATGCCATACTATGGTGGAGGAAGAAGTATGGCGATATAGGCAAAGGTACGGTCTCTATTGATACTTGGGCTGATTTCACAAGGGAAATTAAGAAGCATTTCTATCCCAAGAATGTCGAGGATGAAGCCAGGGGCAAACTCTGAAGGCTAAAACAGGTTGGGTCGATCCGGGACTATGTGAAGAAATTCACTAACTTGACTCTTGAGATCCCGGATCTATCCGACAAGGACTCTCTTTTCTTCTTCATGGATGGTTTGCAGTTGTGGGCCAAGACGGAGTTGAGGCGGCGCAACGTGCAAGACCTTGCCACGACTATTGTAGAAACGGAGTCCTTTATTGATTTCAGCTCCAAAAAGGAACCCTCATCCAAGCCAAAGGACAAAGACAAGGACAAGGGGCGGTATGCCGGCAAAGGTGGGGGAGACAAGGGCGATGCACCCCACAAGAATTGGTCTCGTAAGCCAAGTGGTGGCCATGGTGGCAAAGAGGGAAGGGAGAATAAGGAAGGAGCACCCAAGCCTAAGGGTTCTTGCTTCATATGTGATGGACCACATTGGGTAAGAGATAGCCTAAAGCGGAAGACGCTCAATGCCATGATGAGCCGCTACGAAGAGCAACAACAGGAAGAAGCGCAGATGGGTTCACTGCAAATCCTTAATGCCATCAAGGCTAAAACTGAAGTCCTTAAGGCAACGGCTAAGGGGCTAATGTTCGTGGAGGCAAGCATTGATGGGACATCCACACGTGCTTTGGTGGACACGGGTGCATCCCACAACTTTGTGAGCCTTGATGTGGCCAAGAGGTTGGGCCTCAAATATAGCAAAGAAGGGGGCTCTATGAAGGCAGTTAACTCAGCGGCAAAGGCTATACATGGCATGGCACACGACGTCAGAGCATGCATTGGCGAGTGGGGTGGCCACATAAACCTATCGGTGGTACCATAGATGACTTTAAACTAG